TCCCGCGCTTTCAACCTGCTTAAGGGATGCAAATTTGGTAGGGATTTTTTCGAGCACTATATAAAGTCAAGGTCTTGCCATAATTTAGTAGGCTATCCAAGTCGTAGTATTCATATGGTTTAAGTAGTGTCTCTACAGCTGTCAATACATCACAATGAGGGCTGTTTTGTGTTTTCTGTGCCTAATATTTTTCCCGTCTTTATTTGTATCCTCTAATCAGGAGAGAAGAACTTTGATTACGACAATAAAGCTTTTGAATGCGCTGGTGAGACTAATCCTATATATTTATTTGTTTTTTTTTTTGTCTCTTGTCTGTCTGTCTGTCTGTTTATCTACATTGAAAATATGATTCAATGGATTTACTACATTTGAGGTAAGTGGTTTCAACAATTTATATGAGCTAAATTTAAACAAACAAATTAAATGTAATATTGTTGAACTATATTTGTTTGTTTAAATTCACAATACAGTAAATTGTTTGCAACCACTTACCTTAAAAATTGTGAATCTATATCTATCTATCTATCTATCTATCTATCTATCTATCTATCTATCTATCTATCTATCTATCTATCTATCTATCTATCTATCTATCTATCTATCTATCTATCTATCTATCTATCTATCTATCTATACCTTTATTCTGTGGCACATTAATATGGTAAAAAATGTCCAATTAAAAGCTGGAAAAAATGAATCATAGGTCAATGTTGATGCATTTTAATAGACTACTAAGAAACGCCCTGAACATAAACATCTTTTTTTCTACCATAGGGACCAAAAGCGTGCATAAACGAGGTGGAAAATGCGAATTCTTCTCGTTTCAGGAATCTTATCAAAAAGGTAAACAATTCAATAAGAACACTAATAAATGTTACATCCCGAGATCTTCAAGTGTAGTGTTAGTTTAGTTGCAGTCCCACTCAGCTGCCCGCATAAAACTTGATTTGCCAGTTCAGGTGTGTCGAAAAAAAATAATCTGCAACTTCAACTATTACCCTCTGCCGGTGTCTGTTATAGCGTGTATGTTGTTTGACAATGACTGTTGTGTCTTCTTCATCTGTAAAGAGACAGGAAATACCCGAGGCCCTGAAGATATCATACAACTCCACCTTTGAGATCTTCAAGAAGAAAGTAAACAACTGCCACTGGCATAACAATGCATTTCGAGATCTAATGGAGCACCTCAATAGGCAAATTATATCCAACACCGTAAGTCACGTCCAATAGTTTTTAATATTTATTATTGACAATTACACACTGTAACACAAAGTATTGTTAAAATGTAGGCTCCTGTGATAAGCTCTGAACTTGAGACCATGGTCAATGACTTCAAGCTGCTCGACGATTTTCTCACAACGCAGGTGAGGGATTCAGTAAATAATGTGCTTTATGATAACGAAAATCCAGATCCGCACCAATCAACTCTTACTCTGCTTTTTGACAGAAGTTCAGCTGCTGCGCTTGGGAGATTGCACGACATGATGTTTTGGTCGTCATGGACCACTTCAGGAAAAGGAGTGCACAAAGAAAGATACACTATTAATGCATCACATGTAGTTTACCGAATGTTGTCCATATTTTGTTTTTACGTTAAATTTATTTATTTATTTATTTATTTATTTATTTATTTATTTATTTATTTATTTATTTATTTATTCATTTATTTATTTTGCACTTCTTTGCTCTACACTGAAGTCAAATTGGTAAAATAAGCAATTGGAGAATGAATGAGCGGATGGGCGGATGATCTTTCATTTGATTATTTTTATGCCTAGGCTACTGTATATCCAAGTTGTCTTTTATGGCAAAATACATATTCTGTTTAGAAACACGTGTGGAACACGTAATCTTAACTAAAATGTATGAAATGTATAGTGTTTTAAAGCACTGTTCATCAGGGGCATGTATTTTACTATGTGAACAAATTGTGTTTCGTTGTTGAATGTATCACAAATGTCTATATCTGTGTAACAAATGTGTGGACATATGCAACCATGTGTGAATTTCCTACCTATAAAACAAAATAAAATGTCAGAAATTGCCATTAACTTGTGTTTATCATATTATTCAGTTAGTCTTTTTGTGCAAGTCGGTACATTTCAGTCGTTTTTTTTATTACAGTAGATAATATTTGGGTACATTCTGATTTCAGAAAAGAAACAGTCTTACTTTACTAAGCAAAAATAACAGTTTGAACTAATAAGTTGTCCATGAGAAAATATGTTTAATGCAAGTCTGTATAAAATGTTATTTAACTGCCTTTCCGTAATAAATTAAAGTGTGTACGAGATAAAATCAGATAAAGAAAAATATTAATAAGGAGGCAAAGGTGGAGTCTGTTAAAAGTTTGATCTCATGCAATATTCGACAGAAAAAGTCAAGGAGACAACTGTGGTCGAAAGACCTCAATTAGGTATCGATGAGTGATCTATGAAACCTGAAACCCACTCTCACGCATATGTTTTCTCCCCGCAATATTCTAGCTTTCCTTCACTTTTATTAAAATACTCTAAAACAAATGTCTGTTATAAGGACTTCCTTTGGTTCCATTTCTACAGTCAAAACATAATTAGAACATTGTTTATCGGCACTTTAAGTAGTGGCGCCCCCAGAACATTAATGAAAATTCATAAAATCATTTATAAAACAAATTAACAAACTGAACAAACGGCATTACTATGCACACACACACACACACACACACACACACACACACACACACACACACACACACACACACACACACACACACACACACACACTAATAATATCCATGCATCCATATTCCTTTTTGAGCCACAATTTTATTGTTTTTATTGATGTACCTTTTTGCAAAATACATCCACAAAAATCACTGAGATTTCTGACCCTAGTAAGTCAACAAGCAAAACAATGGAGGTGCTAAATAAGCTAGATTTTTTTATGAAAAGTACAATCTCATGAACCCAAAGTTGTGCATAAACCCCACAAACAATACTAAACAACTTCTAAGAAATTTAAGCTTACTTTTATTTTTAAATGTGTAGTAGCCTACTGCAAATCAGCAAAAGCGAACCTTCTGTAGATAGGCGAAAACATTAAACTATGCTAATCAAAATGACCTAATTCTGAGCCTTGTAAAGTATATGTTAACACATGTTTAGTATTTAACTGTTAACAGAGCGCATAGAATAGTTACTTAGGTTAAGATATGTTTATACCCGTTGTTCTTTCCTAAATAATTGCCATATCTGTCTGTTAAAGGCGTGTGCGTGCTGTCAACAACAATTAGCCAAACCATCCACAATAATTTAGTGGCTGCAATTTATTTATTTATCGAAATATTGTGGATTTTCAACGCAAAATTATACTGGGCTGGCCCCAAGGGTGGAGTTTTCACAGGGCCCATTTGGAGGCGCTCCTGACTTTGAGAATTGAGAATTAATTTAAAAAGTGCCATTACGTGATTGGTTATGGAGATATAGACATATAGGCTACCCTACATCTTTTCACGTTTTTACAAAGTAGTGCAACATTATCAAAAAACGAAAAAGTCCACAAATTCATTCATTCATTCATTCATTCATTCATTCATTCGGTCGTTTCTTTATTATCTTTCGGCTCAGTTTCTTCACCACAGCGAAATGAACCGTCAACTTATCAGCATATGTTTTACACAGCAGATGCCCTTCCTAATTCAAAAATAACTAACGAACTAAAATCCACTGTGAGGCGAATGTGTCACAAATCTAATAGTATTTAATCTTGGAAATTTAGTAAGATTTTTGCTTGTTTATTTGTTGGGCAGTGCAAATTTAATATTATGGATAACTTTTAGGTCTCTAAGTCTAGGCCAATATCCTATATTTATTTTAAATTTACGAGATCGCATAAGGACGATAATAATAACAACATAAATTTAACAGAACTAATTAAATAACAACAAACTTACTAATGTGAGTAAAGTTCTTTAGATATTTGGGTATAATTCTTAATGATATAATGTCATTATAATTATATAATGTGATTAAACGGAACTAGGCCTATTTGTTTGATAAAACTGGCACTTCTATGAATTTTAATTATTAGCCTACTTAATATTAAATAAATAACAACATCTAAAACTTAATAGTATTTTACAACAAAATGATAAAAAAATGTAGCGAATTTACAATTATTGCATGTATAAAGTAATAATAGTAAGAGTAATAATAACAACCTAATAATAATATTAATAAAAAAATATTTTAACGGTAATATAATGTGATTAATAATAATAATAATAATAATAATAATAATAATTATTATTATTATTATTATTATATTTTAAAATAGCCTAATAAATATAACAATAGTGATGATGATCATTAAATTATTATTTTGGTAATCCAATGGCCAGTTTTTCTTGCGTAGTGAAAAAAATATTTATGTGAAGTGAAGTGAAAGTGCAATAATGCAGAAGAAAGTGTGGTGAAACCCAACGAGAGTTGGAGGTTTTTCACACGAGATTGCATCAGCACACATGACGTCTAAACAGAAAGTGTTTGGTTCACGCGAACCCGCGGCTGCGTTTGGAAACGGCAGCCTGAAATACGTTGGAATCAGGTAATCATTTTGACCCGTGTGATTTATTTTGCTTAAATGAAGTTATTAACAGTATTATCTGTGTGTGTTGCAAGTGGCTATTGTTGTGTGTGGTTTCAGCTGATGCCTGACGGTTGAAACGTAACTGCATAAGCCAACATATTAGCTACATTATTATCACAATGTTAGGCTACTTCTCTTCTAACATTACAAAATGAAGTACTTTCAAAATAGAACTTGATAAATTTGAGCATAGAGTCTACTTTTGGGTTATTTTGTATAGTCTGGTCTTCTATACGCGTTCTCAGCAAGTAGCCTAGCCTAGAAAGTGAAAGCTGGAATTACCAGCCCCTGCCGTTCGTTTTCCCTTTCCCAATACTCCCGAATAAATCCAGCACTCTCCATCATGTCTCTGAAACTTTCTCTTGAGCGACAAAGTAGAAAACTACTTAATACACGCAAAGATGAGAACTCAAATGTGGACCTATATTTTTGTGATATATGTTATTCTGCAGAGTCAAAGCTCTGCGTCTACTTGCGAATGGCTTGGCCGATACAGGATAATAACGACAGAATCTCTGAACCTGCTCAAGAATATGGTAAATGCAATCTTCTTGCTTTATTTTTAACGTTGTTTAGAGACTTAACGACAATGCCAGTATGTATCATTGCATTGATGCGCTGGAAACACAGCTAATTAAGCATATATTAAGCAAAAAAATAAACTTGCCTTGCCTAGATGTGGAACCGATTTCTAGTTTTTTTTAATGGTTGTATGTTTACCTACATAACTACATACCTACGATTTACAAATAGGCTACTTCAAGTGCAAAATATGCTTTGCTACTGATGGATGATGCGACTTGTTGGGTTGGAGTAAATCTTTATCTTATGCCATCATTGCTTCTATCATTTTATTTTCTTGTCAAAGCAGTCTCATTAGTGTTTTAAAAATAATTTAGCAGTTTTGATTTTATGAAAGTAGCCTATTAGAGAGCATTGTCAGATGTGTGCAAATGTAAACAGAGATTATGTTTTGCATCTGTGTGTTTAGTTAGTTTAACAGTCACATTTTGGAATGAGTGAGAAAATAAACTTATTTTTTAATCTGTTTCATAGGGTGGAAAATATGCAGATCTGGAGACACCATTTCCAAGCCGCTTGTACACCTTGATGGACAAGTCAAAGGTTTGTAGCGTGCTTGGAAAGACTATGTTATCAAAAAATAAAATAAAATCAGAAAGTGTTTATAACCTAAAGAGGCTGGTAAACCTATAAATAATAACATCGCATTGCATTGCATTACAGGTGGAGGACCAGGTGAAGTTTTTAGTCCTGACATTGGATCACATCATCCACCTTATGGATGCCAGGGAGCACATGAACTCGGTGAACTGGGACCAAAACACTGTTGAAGACTTTCTTAACATACTGCACAGAAAATCGTCTGACCTCAAAGAATGTGTAAGTCCTGTGTCAAAGTATTTGTGCATGGCAATGGAAACTGATATCATAATAGGCATTTATATATTGCATGTAATCCTTGTTGAAGGAACCATCATAAAAGCAATACAACAAAAACTTAAAATTTTGCTTAATCATTTAAGCTTACCCCTTTACTTATTGTAAAAACCCTTAAGTGTTATTCTGGGTTATAACAGCACTTTTGAACTTTTAGAATATTTATGATATTTAATATTATCATTATTAATAATAATAATAATAATAATAATTAAACTATAATAATGCAATTATTATATCGCAATCAATGTAAATGAAATTACCATACAGTATATGGTTCCTCGCCCAAGAAAGGGTTAAATCAGGTAGCATTATTCCTACAAATGTTGAGATTCTGAATAAAAGACCAAACTAATAAGAGCTTAGTCATTGAATAGGTGTGTTTAAAGGTGTTTTAGTGACACCTATTGGAGAGCTTGGGTAAATTGTTTACTATGCGTTAAAAAACGGACACATTTTTGGTGCTACAGTTCTATCTGGTTATTTATTCCCGTTTTAATTTTTTTTATCAGGTGGCAAGATACGCAAAGCCAGCACACAAGGAGTCCTACGAGATAAGAATAAAAAGGCACTTCAGGACTTTGAAGAAGATTCTAAAGAAAAAAGTAAGTTTGACTTCATATTAAAAGTGCATGCGTTTACACTCTTTACTTCTGTCATCACCTTGTTTTCTTAGTGCCAGTAGTAACATTATTTTTTTTCCCCCAAAATCATATATTACATGTTTGGCAGCAATTTCAAAATAAGTGGTGCTAAAAAGTGTGTTCAGTTTTATTTCAAATATGTAAATTGGTTATGGTAAGGTTTTAATATGTTGCTTCATTCACATATATTGCATCATTTTGGAAATCAGCCATATAGGAAGATAGAGTTGTGATTGAAATAAGTTTTGTGCTATCTTGACTGGTTTGGGTCTGTCGTAAATGAACAATAAATATGACACCAAATTGCATTACTATAACATTTTTTAGGTGTTAGTATCAGTGTGTTACTGTTCATGGATATATATTAACTAGTGGTTTTATATATATATATATATGTATATATATATATATATATATATATATATATATATATATATATATATATATATATATATATATATGTATATATATATCACCTCATACTTCAATTTCCAATCAAATCTTGACCAATCAAATTCTATTGAACACATGAAGAAAGGAAGGTGTAGAAATGCAGTAAAAGCCCAGACAGCAGCTGAAATCTCTTAGTATTATTCAGCAACCCTCTGCCCTACCTCATTGTAAATTATTATCTGCTGCTTCAGTCCAACATCTACATTAGCAGGATGATGAAACCAGAGTTGACATTTTAGCAAGACAATAATACAAAACACAACCAAGGATACTCTGGAATGCTTTTAGAGAAAGAAAATTAAGTTGTAGAATGGCTCAGCCAATTACCTGACTTGATTTCAATAGACAATACAAATTAAAGATCAGATTTTACTGACCCACAGATCCATTAAGATATTTACACTCTGTTGAAGTCTGTGAAAAAAATTACACCTGAGCAATTCATCTGACTTCATTCTCCATATGAGAGGTGTCTTTAAGCTTCCATCACCAAAAAAGCCTTTTATATAAAGTATTAAATACATTTCGGTAGTTCAGCACATTTTCCTTGTGTAATACCACTGTTATACACAACACACTTTTAGACTTTTTTCTGTTTTGTCCTATTTAAACGTTTGTATTGTTTGGGTTTTTACCAAAATCTGGTTCAGTTCTATGTCAAAAGCTACTTTAGAATTGTTATTACCAGAAAAAAAAAAAAAAACATGATTTGTTGAATACTTAATTTCCCCACAGTACATCAAGCTTTTAGGGATTTGCAAAAATGTAGGAAGAGATAAGTTTTTTTTTTCCGGTTACATGCTTGGGTAGCATAAGAAGCATATTACAATGGTGACTTTGCAAATGGAAATATGTTCTTCCACATAAAAATGCACAGAGGCTGAAGTTGTTCTTTTTTTGTGTTTTTAGCAATACAGTGCTGAAGCATGGGAGCAGATCCGGAGAGTTGTGAAAAGCCACCTTCAGAGGATGGACATCATCGCAAGCAACGCAAGGGTCAATCCTCGAGTGTAACAGATGATATGATCTGATATAATGACCAAAAAATAAATAAATTACAGCAATCATCAACGAAACGTTACAAAAAAAAATGCCTTATGAAAAAAAAACCTCAAAAAAACTTGAATGTATTTGTGAATTTATGTTTTAGTATTTTACAATGAATGTAGCCTAGAGTTTTGCCTAATGCCTTGTATCTTAATTTATAGTTTCCTAAGAAAACTTGAAGCATTCCGATAAAGCAAGCTAATTATGTTTCCTACATAAACGTAATGTATTTTGTTTTGGTAGGAAAATACATTGTGTATATTCTGATTTTAACTGTGAAAAGGAGAAATGCTGTGTATTTCAGATCATGTATTAACCATCAGTCAGGTATTTTGTGATTTACATGCACATAATCCACAGACATGATTGTTTTAGGTATTTCTTAAACTGACTTACAGATTTTGGTGCGCAATTTTTATAACGTACAATATTATTGTTTTCATATTTATTGCTATTTATTTATTTATTTATTTGTTTGATTATTTATATTTGTTATAAAATATATGATTTTGTATTTTCAAATAAAAAAGTTTGACTAAAATGGATTGACTGTTTACTGTACATGGTTGACCGTTTCTTATACTTATTTTATTTCGATTGACTCTTCAAAATGTTGTGGTATTTAAAACATTTACCCATATGGAATCAAAACGTACATTTTAATTATCTCTATATACAAATAAATGCTTCATTAAGATTGTGCAAATGTGTATGGTACAACAAGTATGCAGCAGCATTTACCCTTTCTCGAACGGGGGCGCCAAAATCTACATTCTGGGCGCCAATCAAACTTTCTGTGACGGAGTGAAACAAATACAACATCCTTTGTATTCCACTTGTTATACAAAAACAATGATTAAATAAATATGTAGGAAGTGAATTTTTATTTTATTAGATTTTTTCATATATTTTTTTATATTGCGATAGACATTTAACCCATTTAATCCCAAACTTTTCCTAGAAATGACATGTATAAATTTGTGTGGTATTTGTAAGGATAATAAACAATTAATGTCAATTTTCAAAAAAAAAAAATTATATTGAGAAGTCCATGAAAAAATGGGTTTTATCTTTGGTCACAATTGTGACCAGTGGTAGAACACAGGGAGTCTAGGTCTACAGTGTAAATGCATTAAAAAAATTAAAAATCTCTTGCCAGCAATTAGTTTAGAGACGGGTTTAACTTGTTCAAATTTGTTTTTCCATTAACAAGAAGTAAACATTGTCTGGCTCAGTTTAAAAAATAACAAAATAACAATCTTATGCAGCAGGTCAACACAAATATTCAAATGAAATGATGACAAAATGACAAATTATAAGTAATTTGATAAAAGTAAACTATAGAGTAAATTATTATAAACTTCATTATAAACGAAAATAAATACCAAGCTAGCAAATTCACATGGCTCAAATCCAGCCCACACCAGACACTTACATCCGGCCCACACACCGCATGGTGGTCCTTTCCTGTTTGCCAGATCTGGGCCACAATTAAGACACAGTTTGCTTTTTTTTCTGGCCCAGATCCGGCTCACACCAGACACTTCCATCTGGACCACATACTAAATGGCTCTAGGGTGGTCTGCTCCTGTTTGTCAGATCTGGGCCACAAATATGCCAAAGCAATACCACACATCAACCAGAAATCAACAAAATGAACCAGAACTGACCTTATTCTGGGCCACAGTTTGCTTTTATTCTGGCCCAGATCCGGTCCACAAATGCAAAGTGGTCTGCATATGTTTTTAGATAACTGGGCCACATTTGTCATATCTTCTCTGGGCCACTATGTGACATTTTTTGCCAACTGTGGGCCACATTTGTCCTCATTCATTTGGGCCAAATCTACCATTTTCCACATGGGCCACATTAGGCTCACAGTCAGATTGCATTTTGCCATAAGTGCCAAATCTTTGCCTCAAATGGCCCATATATGAGTTTGAATCTTTGGCCCCATTTTCCCATTGTACAGGTGGGCCACTTCAGGCTAATATTCATTTTGTCTGGGCAGAAGGAAGACCACCAGTACCGCATAACTGCCTAAAGTAGCCCACAATCATATGCTATCTAGGTAGCATAGTAATAAAAAACATGTATATAAACTAAGGAATACATATAAAAAAATATAACATAAACAAATAATGAAATATGGAATGATATGGGGGACACAGACTCCCTGTGTTATACCTCCCTGTGTTATACCACCTGTGTTTATTAATCAGCAGATTGACAACAAAACAAAAAAAACAATGTAATAATATAATTTAAATATGTATTTATAGATAACCCTTTCATGATGATGCACGCAAAATATTTATTGCCTATTTAAAAATTAACTTAGAAAACATACTTGTCATTTCTGAGATTTAACATTTTCTTTCCATTCAGATGGCAATACTAAGAAATAAATGATTGGCCAAACTACCCAATCATGTTAGATCTGCCCTGAACTCATTTAGACATTTTTCATTATATATGAAAATGTGCTTTATAATAAGAGTTGCTTTTGAATACTACAGAAAAATATGCAAGCAAAAATTGTGGTCACAATTGTGACCGGTGGGATTAAATGGGTTAATGTATGAGACTTGAGTTTTATTCGTATTATAGGACACATTTATTTTGTGTTGAATACTTAAAACACTCCAAAAAATGCTTGGCATGTTTTAACATATGGTCAAACATTGACAACCCAAATATTTGAGTATTTAAAAAAATTAAAAAAGAATTCCACGTTTGACCCAACATTGGGTTAAAACAACCATGCCAGTTGCCGGATTTAATGATCACTTATTGAGATTGTACTAAAACCAGAAGATTGAGTAAATTACTAACGCTACAAAATGTCAGAACTAATATAAGTACTGCTCGTACATTCATAGCGTATTCTTAAGAAAATTCTTAAAATTTTCAATATTTGTTTATAAATGTTAATATTTTGACGTCCTTGATTTTGCGATCACATCACAACGTAAACGTGTTTTAGTCAGTCACATTTTTTTATTGTTAACATTGTTAATGTGTTTGAAAGAAGGCAATATTACAAATCAAAATATCGAATTTATTATTTATTTAAAATTTAGGACTATATACTATATGAATTTTCAGTAAAACCCAGTCTTAAGTGTCTCAAGAGCTTTAAAACTGTGCAAGCAGGCCTGTTCTGATTATCCGCTGTTGTTGTCGCACTTATAAGGGTATGGTAAGAACAAATCTCTGATCGACTCCTTGCTAAAGATTCATTCCGCTCCAGACCATTGAATTACAGTATTCACAAGTTTTAGGCAAACAAAATTTAAATAAATTAAAAGTCTATACTGAGCATATAGACCATATTTACTAATTCATTTGGAAATATCTTCTAAAACAGCTATGTCATACCCTCTGCAGAAATACAGGTACAAAACTCACTGGGTGATACCTTTTTAAAGTCGTTTAACTTGTTTCTTGGTAGTACTATAAAATAACATAAAATAGAAAGTAGTGTAGTGTGTGATGTTCCTCACAATAGTTTTTATTTTAAAACCGTTTAAAAAAAACATTTACACTTTACATTTACACCTCGGATAATCTAGTTTTTTTTTCCCCCCTCTAGAATATATTTTTTTTGTGAAACAAAAAGTTTCTATGTTAAAGGTTCTTTATGGAACCATAGGCCTACCAGTAAATGGGGCGAAATGCTTCTATTTAACAAAAGGTCGATCAGATGTAAATGGATTTGCATTGTGATTAATTTATTTAGACTATTTATTCTCAACATCAAGTATTTTGATTTGCCTCATAACTGGGCGACAACAATACACAACAGAGCGGAAAATCAGAATACTTGAATTGTTTTATAAAAGCTCACGAGACACTAAGACTGCATTAATGACAATAAAAGTTCATAAAAAGACTGAGCGACAATAATACACAACAGAGCGGAAAACCAGAATACTTGAGTTGTTGTATAAAAGCTCATGATACACTTAAGACTGGATTAATGATACAAAAAGTTCATAAATACACAATCACTGTTCTTCTTCAGTCTATTGTTTTTAGTGTAATGCAACAAGTCATGGCCTATACTTTTCACATAGACGTGTCTAGACAAGTCCATTTACAATCCATCTTCTTCACGAAAAAAGATATATGTTTGCTGCTTGTTTAAATTATTTATTTAAAATGAGCTGAATCAACACAGCTTGAGGGCACAGTTTAATTGTTTCATGTTCAATCCACTTGAATTTGTAAAAACAAATAAGTTAACTTAATTCCTTCATGTTGTCCCAACACAACATTGTGTGAAACCCAGCATTTGTGAATTTTCAAGTCAGAATTTGAGTGAAAATGTTATCAATGAACATGCATTTCAGCAATACAATCTTTACTTCTTTTGTTTTGTTATTTATTTCCTCAAACAATTGTCAAAGCTATTGTACCTGCTTCGTTTTGTAATTCCATGATGATGCATTTAAATGTTTTTTTAGTTTTGTTTTAAATCATCTTTCAGGCTTATTTCAGTTTTTCCAGAAATACTTAACAGCAGAGGTCAAATGAACATAAAAGCTAGCCGATTTCACATAAGTGCGCCTCTTACGTCTCACAGTGGTGAAGGTGGAATATTCCTCGTATATTAAATGATGACTGTGTGGTTATTAGGGCGCACACTCATTATTAGGTTCAAGTGGAACACCGCCTGCCACACGCTGAGTCGGCAGAACTGAATTCATAGAACGCGAGTTGTATGCTGTTGTGGTCGGTTTGTGCGGTAAGTGAACTTTGCACGCGGTGGGTCGTTGGCAGTTTAGTGATGCTGATATGATGTGGGTTGATGTTAAATGAGTGCTTTGCTTTCCTCACATGTGAAAAAAAATCTCCTGTTATTTAATGAAAGAAAAGAAATCGTTCGTTCATTCATAGAAATACAAGGATTTTCCCAGCAATGAAAAGTGAAAATGTGATGCGGACATTTTACTACGCTATACCACCCTTTTGGTTTGTTTTGCTATATATTCACTTTAATAAAAATGTGTAGTGTAATTTAAAATTAATCAACTGTTAAATAATTTATCATATAAAA